GGGGGGGGGGGGGGGCGGGGGGGGGGGGGGGGGGGGGGGGGGGGGGGGGGGGGAGAGAATGAATCCAGGAGTGGTAGAGAGCAATGCTATGAAATTCTAATTTTCCTACCATAAACTTTTAGTACGAACAGGTTTGAGATTTGGCAGTGCTCCTCTGAAACAAACAGTTGAAGAAGGCTTCGCGAGCCGGACAAAATGAACTGGAGGACTAGATCCAGCCCATAGGCCGCCAGTATGACACCCCTTTATTAAAGGAGTCCTGTCGAAACCGTCCTCTTAGACTTCGCGAAAACTTCCGATACCGTTCCTTGCAAGAGATTACGAGTTACATAGGAGGTCATGGGGTTCGAAGTAGGGTGAGTAACTGGTTGTAATATCAAGAGAAGAAAGTACTTGCGAATGGGGATGTGTCGGCGGAAGTAGACAACGCGAGTCAAGTCCCCCAGGGCTTAGTCTTCTGATCTCTTATATTTCTGGTTTACATTAACGATTTTGATTGAAACCTCACAAATAAGTCAGTTAAGTCAGTAACTTTGCCGAAGAACACGTAGTGGTTTCTCCATCAAGGAGTAAAAGGCGAGAACCGAGAGGGATTCAGTGCTTTTGAATGGGTGAAGCGACAAATAGCTCATGGATATTGAGAGTAAATGGACATTGTAACGACTTGGGTCACAATAACGACAGGCCTCTGAATACCTTTGAGGAGAATAAGCTGAGGGGGACGAAGTGGGGAGAGAGACTTAGAGAATGTGATCGATAAGAAACAGAAGTTCTTCGAGCATGCGCAAACAACCTTACAGTAGTTGTATGTAACAGGATTTTAAGCACAATTCGGCTTTTGATTGTCAAGAAGAGCTGACGCGTTATTATACCACTATAGAGAGCACTTTTAAGATCCCATTTAGAGCACTATGTTCAAATTTGGAGGTCTGCAAATACAGTGCACGTGATCTAATGGCGCTGGAGAGGGTTCAGAAGCCAGCCATGAAAAGTACAAAGAAAGTACGAGAACTTGAGACACACGAGAGACGTTTAAAGGAATTAACATTATTCGCTCGAAAGGAGGTTAACGAGGAGATTTAACTCTTTCCGGTCCTTTGGCAGGCAACGCACGATATCCAGGATTGAAAGCAATAGAAACCAGATGTGAGATACCCTGAGTATTCCAAATATGCGACATAGCTAGCTCCAACGGAACTGTGAACGAATGCGAAATTCATAGTATGTAAAACGAGTAAAACATGAATAAATAATTGGACCTGGGGGTGCGTCGCCTCCCCAAATAAATTATTCGAAAAAGGGGATCATCAAGTGAATCGATAACGTGGAGCGAAGTAGATTTTTTCAACTCGATCTTATCAGCGGAACGAGAAGGTTCCAATTCAAATTGTGTTAACCCCAAGGAAAACTCAGGTTGAGGAATAACTTCTTTACTTGCAAGGCATGGAACGGGTTAGGTGATAATTATGGAGGGGATTTTTATGAGTTAATAAGAGATTAAATATGAACATAAACACGAAGGAGAAAATATGCAAGATGTAAAATTATAGGGAAATATGCACTTTTTAGCCTTGATTTATGCCTTTGGAAGTGGAGTGCAATTTAATTTCCAGAAATATTCCAGGAAATCGGGGGAAGAAACATCATCCAAAAAATCGGCAGCCCACACGTCAATTCTGATTTTTTCCACAGAAAATGGGCAAGATACACGTGAATGTATTGATAAATAAATAAATAAATCGCACTCAACGCCAAAACTTGCATTTGTATGCATACAAAATGGCATCAATCCCTTCCTCTCCGAGTAATGCATGCGTCTATCTGGGTCGTATGCATCAATACATCAATAAGATTGCGATGAAAAAATATCCGTTTGCATAAAAATCCATTTCATAGTGAAGACGCTGTGGCTTCCGCTCTTCCATGAATTGCATTAATAAGTCAGACGGCTTTGATGAAAAAAATGGGAACAATGTTTCTGTGAGTAACTAGGTAGGTGGATGGGCAAAATAATTATATTAAGAGGATTAGAACCAGTGGTCTATTTTTGCTCATGAGCCAAGGGGAACGGGTTATCTGAAAGGGGCTGCCAAGGACGATGGGGGGAAGGGAAGGTGGCGGTGAGAGAAGGTTCCCAAAGGTGGGAAAAAGTCCTCAGAAGGTGCTAGTTAATTTCAAGGACTGCCGGGGCGGGGGGGGGGGGGGCGGCCACCCCTG